GCTCAGTATTTGATACCTGAGAAATTATACATTTTTTCGAGGGGTGTGGGGAACAGGTTCTTGCTCTGTTGCTCAAGCTAGAGTGCAGTGGCGAGGTCACAGTTCACTGCAGCATCGAAATCCTGGCCTGAAGTGATCATCCGCCTCACCCTCAGCCTCATGAATTGTTAGGATTATAGGCGCAGGCCATTGTGCCTGGCTACTTTTTTTATTTTTACTTTTTGTTGAGATGATGGGTGTGGGTGGGTTGGGGAGGGTCTCTGTGTTGCTCAGGCTGGTCTCAAACTCCTGGCCTCCAAGCAATCCTCCCGCCTTAGCCTCCCAAAGTGTTGGGATTATAGGTGTGAGTTACTGTGCCTGGCCTTAGGTGTTAAAATTGAGTTAATTGAGAGCCAAAACATTACATCTAACAGAGACCTTTTCTCAGTTTTCTAGTTTTCTTACTGCTTACCATTGCTGTATTCTGATTGATACAGGATATATGGTATAAAGACTGGGATCTGGATCATCCAGCCATTGTGGCTAGGGGCCAATCTGAAAACTAATTTATGCTCTGGAAGTTTTTCTCGGTTTCCAGAAAATATTGTGCTATTTCTTACTCTATATTATTTTACCTGCATTTATATTTGAAGTATATGGGTTGAGCAGAAACTGATTGGAATATGAAGTTTTAACATGTTTAATAAAAACTTACCTTGTTTCTTAAATTATGTTGTAGTTTTATTAATCAGTGTCTTTAGTTGGGATTTTGAAGTTTTTTTGTTATATAGTTTTTGTGTAGTAGGATTTATATGTTATTGAAGCTATATTGGTGTCACTTAAGGAACAAGGTATTCTGAAAGCTTATGTAAATTACATGATAAATTTGTGTCCTTATAGTTGGTGTTAGACTGTACACCAGAGAAAGTTTTCATCAAAGTAACATCAAAGATGTGATGACTAGAATTCTATCACCCCCCCCAATTTAAAGACAATTTAGCATGAATAAGAGGGAGAAAATGTCATCCATTTTTTTCCTACCCGACATTTTTATTTTTGCATGTTTCTGATTGTTTGCATGTGTATATTTTAAATACTTATAATCATCCTATATTTGGGATTTTATAATTTTTCTTTTAATTAACATGCAATAAGGATTTCTCATAATCCAAGTTGATTTTACCTCATTCATTCCTTGTAGTATCGTAATATAGTGAATGCATATTTGGATATTGTAAAATAATTTCATTTTTCTGTTGGTATATACATATTACAGTAAATATCTTTTATGTAGTTTTTAAACATTCGCCAAAAGTCATTGAGTTTTACAATAATGATTGTTATATTTCAGTGTATGTAAATTTAATCTTAATTCAAGAAAGTAAAAATAATGTGTCAGAAGAGTAGAGAGACCTATTTCTTGTAGAGCCTGCCTTCCTGCCTGCCTTCTTTTCTCTTGCCTGATCTTGTTTAAAGATGGTAATAAGGTAGTTTTCAATGGTAATATAAGGTAGTGGAAAGTACACTGGACTAAAGCCAAGATAATTTAGAGAATTGTTTAAGGTATTATTTGTATACCTCTATCATAGCATCTTTTATTCTTTAATATCATTATTATTTATTTTTTTGTCTTCTAGTAGACACTGTATTTCTTGAGAAGAAGTGGGCTTAATTTTTATTGTATCCTCACCACTGAGTACATTACCCGGCATACAGTAGGGTCACAATTTGATGAAGGATAGAAGTACATGAGTGTTACAGTAGTACACTCAGTTTTATAGGAATGTATTGTGCCTGTGCTATTATTGGGTGTTGTTAGTCTTATTGATCTTTCAAAGTTTTCCTCATTTAGAATGCAGAATCACACACATATCAGGTATAAATACACATGTATGTATTTTAGAAGTTGTCTTATGTGGAAGGTTTTTGGAATTACATCTGTTTATATTTCTCTGAATTTGCCAAATTTTCTACAAGGAGTCTACATTTTATAATGAAAAGAAAAAAGTTTGGTGTTTTACAAAAGGATTTAGTGGTGAAAATGAGACGTTATAATTTATGTTTCTTTCATTACTTACACATTTGGTCACTGTTCTTTGTCCTTTTGTTCATTTGCCTTTTTTGGAGTATTAATGTGTGTGTTTTAAGCAGTTTATTTGGTACATTTGTGAATAAAACTGTGTCAGATTTGTTACAGGTATTTTTTCCCAATATACTTAATTTTATTTTGGTTATATTTTTGGTCTATATGCAAGTGTGAAATAATTGCTGTCTTTTCTGATTTTAAAACTTAGAAAATTATTCCTTTTTTAGAAATTAGATAATTAATTTTTTTGTGAAGTGACATTGTATGATGAAATTTTTTTCTTAGTTTAGGGTTTTCTAAACATAGAGTTTTTAGAGTTATGTAATGAGATGGATCTAAGTAGATATTTTTCCTTCCTAATTGCTAGGGTATTTAATAATCTATTCCTTCCCCAATTACAGCAATGGCTTCTAAATCCAGAAGCTCACACTTTTAAAAAAATTTTAAAAGTATGTTAAAACTCTTTTATTATGGAACTCTTAATACACAAAAGTGGAATTAGTAGTATAATGGACCCAATACATAGTGTTTTTTAGTTCAAGAAACCCAATGCTTTTGAAAATACCTTGCTGTTGGAATGCCATAAAATATTTTCATTAGTTTGAATAATTTTTTAATATTGCCCAGAATCTTTTATTATTTGTGTATGTGTATATATTTTTCATATATGTAGACTGTGTGGTAATATATATATGCATGATTATTACTGTGTGTGTATATGAAAAATGTATATACACACAGTTACATAAAGTATACTTTTTTGAATTATAAGAAAAATACTTAGGTTTAGAGTAAGAATCAAGAAAATTCAAAGTTATTTTATGAAGGATTGTTGATTAAGGGAAGAATAGTGGTATGTTGACAGTACAGATCATTATAAATAAAAACTTGTAAATATAATCTATTTGAGTTTCCAGCAATACTGATATAAATACAGTTATTTCAAATCATCACAACAAAGCCTGATTGTTTTTAGTTGTAAAACAGCTTTCAATAAAGTGACTGAGCTCTTAAGGAGAAAGGTTACTTTGTTTCTCTTCTAATGCCTGACAGAAAATAGACTGACAATAAATGTAGGTTGAATGAATAATATTTTTTGTCTTATTTTTTTTTTCTTCAAAATAATTGTAGGTAATCTTAACCTTGTAATTCCATGGAAAAACCTTTATACCCAACCAGTTGAAGCTGTATTGGAAGAAATTTATTTGCTCATAGTGCCTTCTTCTAGTAAGTCAAATTTTAAAAATTATGATTTAAGTTACTCTTTTGTATGGATGGAAATTTTTTTTTTTTTTCCGAGGCAAGGTCTAATTCTGTTGCTGGGCTAGAGTGCAATGACATCATCATAGCTCACTACAACCTCAAACTCCTAGGCTCAAGCGATCCTCCTGCCTCAGCCTCCTGAGTAGCTGGGACTATAGGCACACGCCCCCATGCCCAGTTAACTTTTTTTTTTTTGTAGAGTCAACTGGATGTACCATTTAAAGTTAAAGTTGGCCATATAGGTAAGCCATATTTATTATTGAATTGTCCTCCTTGATGGATGTGCAACCAGAATAATATGACTAATATCTCTATAATGTGATCTTTTAAATGTTTCTGGGCATTTATTGAAAATAATCATATGTTTTTGTCTAGGTAGAGCTTAGTTGTGTAACGTAAAAATATTATGGGAGACATATATCCCTAGCTCAGTATTTGATACCTGAGAAATTATACATTTTTTCGAGGGGTGTGGGGAACAGGTTCTTGCTCTGTTGCTCAAGCTAGAGTGCAGTGGCGAGGTCACAGTTCACTGCAGCATCGAAATCCTGGCCTGAAGTGATCATCCGCCTCACCCTCAGCCTCATGAATTGTTAGGATTATAGGCGCAGGCCATTGTGCC